GCCGAGCTCCCCTGCGGTCAGGGGGGCTGAGGGAGCGGCTCCCCCTTGGCGGTGCTTGGTGGGGAGGGAGGGTGGATGCCCTTGCACCGTCTTGCCTAAAAAAAAATAAATTAAAAATACGTTTGTTTGGGTATTTAAAATTATCATTGAAATATACCTTACTTTGACGTTATTTTAGCTAGTATGCAAGTGAACTACGGTTAAAGTTTCTATTTCCCCCAGCGTGCCCCCCATTCTGCACCATCGCTGTGCCGCACTCGAGGCTGCTGCGTGAAGCATCGTGCGGCTCCCCGCATCTCTCCTTCCCGTAGGTCCTCCAGGTGCCCAGGGATAGCGGATGCCAGGGCTACATCGTGTCTGGTATTATTAACTACACTACTCTTAAACGAGCTGCCGCTTCCAGAGCGTAAACCAACCTTCTGAATAACCATGAGCACCTTACTTAAGTCACCGTTATTGTGAAATGGTTTTAAAGCGATGGGAATGTTTTGTGCTGCGTAATAGTTTTTATTGATAGAAACTTTAAATTAAAGAGCAATTTATCTCTTTGCACTGTGCGTATATAATTTGCTGATCGAAATGAATCAGTTCTGAAGTGTTTTCCCCAGTTTCCTTGATTTGAGGAAAATGTCAAGTTGAGTTTTTGTTAGAGAAGCAAACTGGACCTCTTGAGTATTTGGATTTATTGTAGAGCTTACATTGCAGTTCTCATGGTGTGTGCGTTCTTCTTGGAGAATCTTCTGTGTTTTTTACTCTATTTCTTACAACCTTCCCTAAAGGAGAAAGAACCAATGCTAAACATCACATCTAAGGATACAAAGAGGAGTTCTGTGCTATTTCCAGGACAGAAGTGAACAAAAAGACTTAAATCTGTAGCAGAGAGTCTTTGTAGTAGCAATTCTATAAGTAACTGTATTTTAATGTGCAGAATAAGTGGATAAACTTGAGTGACAGAGGCTTTATTCTCCCTGAAAGTGTCATTACTTGTAGAATACCTGTCATCTTTTCATGCTTGGCTTGCTTCATAGTCTGCACTGTTGAGGTATGCATAAATTTGTTACCAGTAAAGTCGCGGAAACCTTTTTTTTTTTTTTTCCCCATTAAACTGTAAATTTAGCTATTGCAAAATATTTTTTTCCCTTGGCTTACACAATGTGATCATATCATAGAACTATGCTTTAAGATGGGAATTTATAAAGTAACACTCCTAGTAATTTTACTAGTACTAGTAATCTTATTTTCATTAAATGTATTTTATGTCTTAAGCTCAGAGGGCATTAATACATGATCATTTGCTCATCTCATTCAAGCATGCTTAAGCTTGTTAAGCACATATGAGATATCACGAGAAGAAGTTTTCGTATCTCCAAACCACTCAGCTTTGTCACTGGCACTGACCTATTCTGGTCCCATCATCCCTTTTCATAACAGATGTGGTAGATACCCAATGGCTTCAACTATTCCCACCGTAGAATTACTGCAGGGGTGCACTAGGAAGGGAATAAGCCCTACTGACTCAATGAATGGAAGGACTGATCTACCTTTACCTCAGAGTGACATTTTCTTGGTTGTTAAATTTGGGACCTCACGTTGTCCGTGAGGTAGCTCTAACTTCCAAACTGGCCGTTTGATGCACCTTGCAGTTTATGTAATTTCATTTAGATAGAGTTGCCGAAGTGCTGTGGCTTTTATTTGACTTGTCTTCCCAAAGTGGATTTCCTAAGCCCAAAATAGTGCATTCGTTAAATCTTCCAAGAATGTATAAAACTTTATTTGAATCTAACTGGATTTGGATTTTTTTTTCTCTTGATAGTTTCATTCAGCTGCTCTTTGAGAGGATAAGTTAGTTGCTATTGTGACTTATGTTTATACAAATGAAAATAAATAACCAAGGAAATATAGAATAACTTTTGCAATCTGAAAAAAAAAACGGTGCTATGTTATATATTTTAAGAGTCTTGTCTTTTAACTGCACAAAAAAAGGTGAAGCAAAAGAAAAAGCTACCTGTCATATGCTTTTAGTAACTAGTGGTCAGTTAAATCTGGTAATATCCAAGTATGTTTTCCCTGAAATTCTCTATAATCCTTACTTTATACATTAAAAGTCAAAAATTTACATGTTGGTTTTTGGGTCTCATTCTTCATGTGATCTGTTTAAGCTACTTCGAGAAGGATCCTGAGTACTTTCCAAATACAAGTCCCTATTAAGATCTTGCTTGTGCATTAGTTGTGTGTCTGAAAGTCTAGCTGAATGCCAGCACTTTCTATGAGCATAGGCTAAGCAAATACTTTGGACCTGTTCACGTTTTTGCTGGAGTGATTTGTCACTGCGTAGTCTTTTATGCAAAATTTTGGTGTTTTTTTTTTCTGCATTGCTAATGAATCTCATCAGCATGCCTGAAAGATACTGCTTGTTGAATCCTCTGCCTTTGATTCAGGTTTTATCGATTAGTCTTACCTATTGCTGTGCTCTTCAAAGAGGTGATCAGCTTCTCCTCTAAACTTGTGGAGCTGGAATTAATGGTTCCTGTGATGGCAGCCCCTTTTTTTGCTGCTGTTTTGGTTTTTGTTTTCTCTTGATTGTCTTGCATTTACCAGCACTCATGTTTTGCCTTCTCGTTCAGGAATAGTTTTTCTTCTAGATTTTGCTAAGTCAAACTGCATTCACTGGACAAGAACGCTCAAAGAAATATTAGTACTTGCTGGTCTTGAAGGGCTTTTCTGGTGTGTTCTGCACATCTGACTTTTCTTTTCTCTCCTTTCCCCTTCTTGCCGCTTCCCTGCCCCCCTCCACGAAAAAATAAGTAAAATCTGAGGTTGCAGAAGTGTCAGATAAAACCTTACAGCATTGGCTGTAGTGCTGCAATAAGTGTTTCCCATAGTATCTTACAGAATGCTGCAATTAACGTATATTAAGCTTTGACAAATTTTGCAGTTAACCTGAAATCTGAGCATTATTTAACTGTATAAATGTCTAATAACATTTTATTTTCTAGGCCATAGTAACCAAAGATGAGTCGTGGATTTTCAGAAAACAATAACTTTCCATATGACAACAACCAAATGGTTTTGGATATGATCCTGTGTTCCCTAATTGGTGTTCCTCAGCCTATCAACTGGGACAGTGTGGCAAGGCTAGTTCCAGGATTTACATCCAAAGAGGTGAATTTGTGCCTAAAAAAAAAAAAAAAAATCTGAGGTGAAGCAGAACAAAAGAAGATTGTTTATATTCACTTAAAGGCTTTTGAGCTAAGAAAGAAAATGGCTTTTGTCCTTGTGATTCAGTGAAGCTCAAGCTAACTATTTTCTTGTAAACTTAATCAAATGTGTCAGCTCATGCTTGTAGCATTGCTAGGGGCTTTCACTGTGACACTGCAACCTTGTGTTTAGAACAGAAGCTCCTGCTCCCGAACGGTCGCTTATGTGGAATGTTACTGCCTTGCAAGTTGGAAAAAAAAGTGCTTGTCAAAGAGTTTAATATTTGGGAGGGGTGAGGTACTGCTATTCAACTGCTAGTTTGGATAGAGTACAGTGCAACCTTGAGCAAATAAAATAACTGTAAAAGTATCTGTCAGCTTTTTCCTTGTATAAAACCAGTATTGTTGATTAGTACCTACTGGTTACTTTAAGATAATTTGCTATTTTAAAATACAATATGTGAAATCCCTGTTTAATGCAGTTGAGACATATGTCTATTTAATTTTATAAACTGGCAAAAATTGAGACACTGAGTTGATATCAAAAGGATTTCACTGTGTGCGCCACTACCAAAATGGAAGGTGGCACACAATAATATGCCAGTTAACTAAAGCTGTTATCTTACTATTTTTATTTAGATTTAGGTGTTGGCCAGAAAGCTGTATCACAGGAGGATCTCTCCTGGCATTTGTTAGATTTGTTTGCATGTGTAAAGTTACTTGTGTATAAGAGTGTGGAGAATCAAGCCCATGTGTCTTTATGTAGATACAAATTGACAAAATGCAGGTAATTTTTGGTTCATCAAAACAAGTAATGGAAAAGTAATAGAACTGCATTCCCATTCCCTTTTGTCCTGAGTGGAAACTGTAAAGTAGAAGAAATAATAATAATGAAACTTCTCCTAATATTTGATAATATTAATGGTAAAACAACTAGTCAAAAAAAATCTCTATATATGTATATAGATATAAATAGATAGATAGATATTGAAACCGTCCTCAAAACTGACCCTTTGGAAGATCAGGTCTAGAATAAAGATTGAAACAGGTTCATCTTACCTGTTTTTCCTGAGTATTTAATCATGGCAAATATTATTTAGTTTACTGTATGCTTATGCACTTTCCTGATGTCCCTAATTATATAAGAAGCCTTGTAAGTTTAATATCAGTATGATTAAAGTGTTTATCTGCAAAAGATAGTATACTGAAATATATCTGCATCAAAAATCAGTTATTTAAAACGTCCTGAAAGCTGCTACTTCATTGTCCTATTGCTTAATCTTGTGACAGTGTGCAAAAAGGTATGATGAACTAAAAAGCAGTGGAAGTTCACCTGTTGACAACCAGTACAATCCCCTGATGGCTGTTGGTGGGAGTCCTGTGGAAACTTTAGCTACTTACATCAAATCCTCCTTGCTTGATATGCAGACAGAGTTTCAGGAGCCTTCCAGTGGGCAGAATTCCATTACTACGACTGGTATGTTTTCAGTAATTCTGGAATTATTGACTTTGATTTTAATCAATATGTCTTGAGTAGTAACTCCACCCAGGAATGATACTTGTTCATCTTTGAAAAGGAAAAGTAAAGCATATGTATCGTGCACTTAAGAAGCCATTTTCAGTTCATATGGATTAAGAATCAATGTTCAGGTTTATTAATCGTTTATTGTTTCAAATAGCAGGATATGCTGAAACTTGTACTAAATTCTTCCATTTGGAAGGGGTGGGGATTATTCTTCTGTTTTGTATTCCTGGTGTTGTAACGTCTTAACCTCCAGTGCTTACGATCATGTCAAGCTGTGTTAATAGAAAATTTTCCATAGAAAGCTTAGACAAGGATTCCTTGAGGTCAGACTCCCCTTTCCCAGCAGAAGACCCTGCAGTTTCCTCAATGACTAGAAGACTATATGGGAAGTTGAGCATAAACTACTTGCTTCTTGATGCAAAATACTTTTGCATTGATATACAATGATGCTAGGTCAATTATGTGACCTGGTGATACTTAGATAGCAGAGAACTAGTCCTATCTATTTGTGCTGTAAGCACAAAAGAAAAATATTAGTAACACCACCTTAAGTACCTCTGCTGTAAGAGAGTTTTATTTAAACAGTGGTGTATTAGTTATTCTCTGGCTTTCATTCTAAATAAAGGCATCTTCTACACATTGGGAAACTTGCCAGTTGTGCTGCATGACAAATTTGCTTCATTGCAGTAATGAGTAAATGACTGTTAATTGCTAACAGCTTTCAATTATGTCTTGTATACATTAGATTGAATAAATCATTAACTTCTTGCACTCACAGGTGGCTACTTAGAAGATGAATAGTTTCCCAGTAGGCAGGTAACAAGCTAATTCTGCCTATAGAACTTTTTAGATAATTATGTCCCTTTTAATTTACCTGTATTGCATATTGTCAATGTTATTTCCTTTTCTTCCATAAAGGGCTTCGCTATGCCCAAAATAAATTTCTTAACATTTGCAATATTAAGAACTTGCAGCTTGCAACTTTTCAGTGTCACTTTTCCCACAGGCCTTTATTTAAAATATTCATATTGCATTTGCACTAAAAATCCAGGACCCATAGCTTGGCTCTCTTTTTACAGTATGGGTCGTCTGTCTGCAGTAGAATGACTACCTGGGCAGCTGTGGCTAACCCAACTTCTTCCAATAAAATTTCCCCTAATATTAGCTGTCTTCAGTTATGGCCTTACTAAGGCCTACCTGTGCATGGCCATCATTTATATCTTTGCAGAAAGTTTTGTTTCTGCCTTTTTTTTTTAAGCGTTGTTTTATGTAATTTGATGCTTTAAGCCATGTGTTTGAAAAATTTAGGAAAAGTACATCTGTAGAGACTTCTCTCCTTCAGATTGTAAGCGGCTAACTTCCACAGCTAACAACTTTATTATAAGAAGTAATTAAACTCTGGTGGCAAAGCTTACTGAAATAGAAGTCTTCATGTGATTGGAAGTCTTAAGATCCATATCCCACAAAGAAGAAAAAGGGAGTGAAAGGAATGGGTTGCATTCCCAGAGGAAAATGCCAAAGACTCCGCATAAATCTCTTTGCTCTGGAGATGCAACTGACACAGGTTTGCAGCCACGTGTCCAGGCAAACCAGCAGTGCTGATGATGTGAGTTTCCAGTACACAGCATGGAATACCTAGTAGCTCTTATCGTAGTACAGATTTTACTGCTAGTCAGGTAACATTGTCTCAGTATGAGAGCTGTGCTTCCGTTGCGTTCCAAGATACCGAAGAGTAAAAGCTCAGTCCCCTTTGTTCTAATGATGCCCTTTTTCCTTACATTTAAGGGAGGCCCAGCACAACCTCCACAAGGAATACTTCTCCTGAGTCTGAGAAAGATCCTGTGCATAAAGATGAAGAAAGCCCTGATGGAAATCAGGGGTAAGATGATGTTCCCGTGTTTTGCCTAGAGGATTGTATGGCTGGCAGAAAGCGCCCTCATTGGGAGGAATTGCAAAATAATAGATAGCACTACTAAAAAGGATGCAAGAAGGTCAGATAGTCATTCTCCTTGTTCAAAGCAGAACCAGTTAAACTATTTTTTTTTTAGTTTCATTGATTAAAAATGAATTAAGTCCAAAGAATTGTTTGTAGTTTTCCGATCATTCATATTTTGTGTGTTTTTTTATGTTGTTTTCCTTAATTCTTGTTAAAGGAATGGCAGTAGAAACGCGTGTGTCCACAGTTTGTCAGTTTTCTGAAGCTAGGGTCACAGACCCATCTTCTTTAGTACTGCAATTACTAATAATTGTTGAACTGGTCTTGGACCAGGACCAGAAAAATTGCTGAAAGTTTCAGTGAGTGTGCTTACTTTTGATGAAGTATTTTATTATTTTATTATTATTATTCTTTGGGGGATTGGTGTGAGGGTTTCTTATGTGCAGTGGCAATAGGTTAGTTATTAATCCATAGACAGCTCTCCTCTGAACTGCTGTGGTGGGAAACACAGTCTCTTTTTAAAAAAGGAATAACTAACAGCTAATTGAAAAAACAAATTTGTTCTGTGAATGTAAAATTACCCTACTAATCTAAAAGAAGAAAAGGAAATCTGTAAGAGAAAAATGCAAATAATTTTTTTTTACGACCAATTCAAATAACCATGTGTGTTATCACCAGTGCATCTTGTATTTGATTCTAACCTAATGGCAATCCTCTTTTTATTTTTTTTGTAGAAATAGATTTTACTGATTCCATCTTTGACCTCTTTCTTAAGAAATGGTCATTTTGCTATATAATAAAGCAATTTTAATTTCCACAGATGAAATTTGCTATAGTGTGCATACACATGGTACCTGAGTAAAGTTAGGAGTGGATAGGTGTGTATATATCTGTGTTTTTTCAAGGAAATAAGTGATTTGCTCTACTTTTCCTATTAAATATTTTAGTAGTATCCCATAACAAACTTTAGAAAAAGAAATAGGGACTGGGCTTAAGGGACTGGAGAAAGAACAATTTAAATTAACCATTAAATTCCACATTGATTACCTGTCTCAGTATATGCATGTACAAGTGTACATTTCAACTAGTATCTGTCAGAGGCTTCTTACTGTTAGTAACTGTATAATTTGTTTTCCTTCTGATAAGAAAAAAACTGTTCATGATGTCAGTATTGCAATGTCTGCAGTTTTGGAGATGAAATCTTTATTAATCAATTTTGGCATTCTTGCTGGCTAAGAATTGGCATTCTTATTGTCCTAACTTGTTTTGTGTCTTGCTTTCTTTGTTAATTGAGGCCAAATATGGTGATCCATGTGTGTGATGAAGCAAAAAACCTCAAAGAAGATTTTATTTGTCCTCGAGACCTTTTGATTTCAGAAATGAAATATTTTGCTGAATACCTGTCAGTGGATGCCCAGCGCTGGGAAGAGGTGGACATTTCAGTGCACTGTGACGTTCACATCTTTGACTGGTTGATAAGATATGTCAAAAGGAACACTAAAGAATATGAAGCGTATGAAATGCCCACTCTAGGTAAAATAAATAAATAAATAAATAAGAGTATCTTGATCTTTTGTGACAGGTTCATTATGATGTACTTCACACTAAAAAGTCAAGCTAGGGGAAAATTAGTGGTTTTAGTGCAAATCAGCCTCCATGTTTTGCTTCAGCTGTCAGCACTGACAGTTTTAAGTAAATATCCTGGTAGTTGACACAGTAAAAAAGGTCTAACATAGTTTGGGATTTAAATCTTTTTATGTTATTTTGTTACCATCTGATAAACAGAACAAGGCAAGATAAGAGTCCTAAAAACAACCTTTGCTTTGCAGGTTATGTTGAGCTGGGTACGCTGGCTAGGAATGGAAATAAGCTTGTTACAGAGTTCCTGAGTGATTTTATCCCTATGCAGTTGCCTTTTCCAGCTTTTATATAGTCCAGTGAACCTGGACTTTTATATAGTCCGTAGTTTCACTCTGACCACCTAAAGAAAAAATTAAAACCAGCTAGAAGTAAAATAAAGCAATTGAATAAGATCATTCTAATTCATTTGCTATCAAAAACTGATAATTTGGACAAAAAAAGGACTAAGAATAACACAGTGCCTTTGTGCATGGAACCAGACATCTGCTTCATAAGGCCGGAAGACTTTTGTTTGTTGGAAGACGGAATGATAGGCTGACTGGTTAAAATAATGCTTACAACATATGCTAAATATGCAGAGGGAGGGAGGGGATGTCAAATTATGAAAAGTATTCATTAAAAAAAATACTGCTTTTGTTTTTTTTCTAGAACCAGCAAATGTCATATCAATTCTTATTTCTTCTGAATTTTTGAGGATGGATTCATTAGTAAGTATTAAGAAAGAAAGATTCCTTGCCATAAGGGTACAGTTAATCACTACGTTTCTAGCAGCTTGTTTGTTATGCTTTGACCATTGCATCAGCCATTGCATCTGTTTATATGATGAAAATGTTTTGGGATTTTTACCACTTTTTTTTTTTTTTTTTAGCTCAGAGGTTATCTAATATCTGCATAATCTCAATGAGGGAAATATAAAAAATTGTAGAATAAGTTGCTTCTAAAATGTGATAGTGGGATCGTGGATTTGTCTTCTGACAATCATCTCAATAAAACCCATCAGAAGCCAGATAATGAGGTTCTTTACAAAAAAAAAAAAAAGTAATTATATTGGTGAATACCATTTTATATCCTTCAGCTCTGTTGAAGTAGTGACTATTGACTTGTTTATTAAAATGATTGTCGAAAGTTTTGCCACTGGAGTGACTTGCAGTGAAATATATTGCAGGTGATGTAGGCAATACTATGTAAATGTGCATCATGGTTCTCCGTTACAAGTAATTGGTGACTCTGCATTAATGATACTCTGAATTTGTTTGTGTTTCCTCCAAAAGGTCTTTGTGATCTGGGAGACAGCTCGAGGAACATTTCATCTTCAACAAGAAGTATTTTCTGTTGACAAATCTTAAGCTTGCTTTTTATTTTTGAGTTGAACTGAACTAGTTTTGCAAAACACACACACACACAAAAAGGCCTGAAGTAATTCATCTGAAATAGCTTTGTCTAGAAGTCTTTTATACTATTTTTAATGTTTCTGCTTTTCACAGGTAGAAGAATGTATTAATTATTGCCATGAAAATATGAATGCCATTGTAGCCACACCATGTAACATGAACTGCATCAATGCTAATCTTGTTACGCGAATTGCTGATCTCTTCACACACAATGAGATGGAAGAGCTGAAGGACAAAAGAGATAAATTTAAGAGGTAACTTTTTTGCAGTCTGATATGCACTGAAATAGTATAGGACTCCCGGATCATTTCTGGAAGCATCTAAGACAGTATGGAGCCTAGACTAATAAATAAAATTTACACATTTTATACAAGGCATTTTTAATACAGAGTATCATGAAGTTACTTCATAATTTTATATTAAAATTTTGAATCAAATGAAAACTTTTTATAAAAGACAATCAATAGGAAAGACCATGGTAGGAGTCCATGACATGGATAAATTATTCATGAATCATCAGATAGAGCCAAGGATTATGGAAAAGAGTCTTTGATGGTTTGATGGGATGACATGGTCCTAATTCATAGAGAATAGTTTGGTTTCAGTGGCCTGCACACTGTGATGTTTGGCCCTGGAATTTAGAATGGCCGGCAGGCTGAATAGCTGTAATGGAGTATTATTTAAACAGGCACAGATAAGAACTCCAGCTTAGTTAATATCAAGAGTCAATTAATAATGGGCAGACTTACAGACACACAAGTTGAAAGTAGAGAAATATTTTAACTGGCAGGAATTAAAACATTACTATGTTAATTCTAAAAGTCAAGTACAGTTTTACAAAAGCATTCAGTAGTAAAAAGTGTTTTAGTCAAGGAGAAGCCATGAGTTTAGATAGCAAACTAAAAAAAAAAAAAGCTTAATAGAAGGGGGAAAAAATCTATACAAAGTGTACTTTAAAGTCATGCTTTATAAAGGTAGGAATTTCAGAAGTGACTCAGATGTAATATTATCGCCACTAAGAGAAGATTTTTTTTCCTCCTATCTTCATAAATGTTAGGTGCAGCCAGGCTAAGAAACAGTTACACAAACAGCACTGTATCAGATCTGCAAGTGAGTCTAAAGCTGTCAGGTTAGATAGGTAAATGCTCTGCATGTGCAGAGCTGCATGTTGTGAGGGAAGTTGAGGCTGGGCAAGAAGGCGGCCCGGGACTGCCTAGGGGAACGTGACAGAGATAGTTTACTGAATGGTGTAGCAAAAACAGTAGAAAATCACAACGGAATCTAGATATTGAAAGAAAAGTGACAATTGCTACATACTATCAAAATATTATTATTAGTTTCATACACAAAGTAATTTTCAGGTCTTTTGCTAATGGGTTGCTGTCATTAACAGTAAGCTTTTCTGCAAGAAGATTGAGAGACTCTTTGATCCAGAGTACCTAAATCCAGATACTGTGGGAAATGCAGTAACATTATACAGGTAGGGTAATTTTCTTAATTACTTCAGATTTGAAGACAGCCTCTGTATTTCATTCCAGTGCTTTACATTGTTTTTTTTTTAATCTAGATGTTGTTTATGTAAAAAACTGCTAACTAAAGAAACCCAAAGACGAATTCCTTGTGTACCAGGAAAAATCAACATAGATCAACATGGGGATATTGTCTATGTTCATATAAGGTAATAGATATATATGTGTGTGTGTATATATATATATATCTCAAATGTATTTCTTCAATTGCATGATGTTGGGTGATTTTACAAAATATTGCATGTTTAGGAGTTAACAGTTTATTCACATTACAAATTTGAGTCATAGCTAGGTATAAAGCAGCATAAATCATCATTTCACCAACTCCTTTTATATTCTCTGGCAAAAACAGTGAATGGTAGACCATAGTTGTACTTCTGAAATTCATGCAGCAGGGTCGCCACTGCAATATGGAAGAGCTACAGCCAAGATCCCTGAGAGTGCTGCTTTGGGTTGCACTGCTTTAATTAGAAAATACTCAGCTAATTGTTTCATCAAAGGGTTTTTTTTATATGTAGCCAATGACAAATTGAATTAAAGGCTACATTTCCACATGGTTTGTTATGGAAGGTTGGTCCATCTCTGCCATGCTAAATACTTTATTCTAGACTGACTTGATGCTTCATATCAAATAATATCCTGCTTAAAAAATACTAGAAATAAACAACTGGTAGAAGTTTATTTATTTAAAATACTTGGCAGAGGACTTTCCAAGACCTATTTTCTCTGTGCCTGATTGATTTGGCGCAAATGTTAAATTGATTTCTGTCTAATTGAGCCATGTTTCTGTACACTATATTCCCTTCTGCATGCCTGATATGCTGTGATACCCTCCCTCACTCCCCTTTTAAATAAATTATTAACAGGAGGAATTGCTCATTGGATCTATTCCACTTAGAACAACAAAATGCAATTCAGTGTCAGCTCCCACGTTAATACATGTCAAGTTAGTGTAACCCCCATCAGTAATTCCAAGGTGTGGAGCAAGTTCTGCCGAACAGTCTAAGCAGAACTGAATCTGTGACCCTGTCCTGACGTATTAGGATTGTTGATCATTAACCCATTAACATTCTTTAATTGTATTACGTCAAGCAGACTGAGTGCAGGTAGCCACTAGATAATTCCTACCACATATATGTACGGGCTCTCAAAGTTGATTGGAATCTGCATAATCTCCTATGTGTTTCTCTTCTCGTACTTGTGACTGCTTTTCTGTGTAGAATCCATTTACTCATTCCTTAGACTAATTGACATTGGCCACTAATGAATCCAGGCTTATGATGTAGTACAAGCCTGTCTTTAATGGTATAGTTGTTTAAAAATAGACTTGTATGCACTAGAAATCTAGTGGTACAAAGAATTTCCAGAGGAGTTTTTGTCTGCTTAGGCTAGATTAGGCATAGTAAAAAATTTAGGCCAGGACCTAAAATTGTAGGGACAACTGTATTTGCTCTTTGCAAGAATAAAATGCATCAGTACTGGATGCATGTTGTCTCTTGAATTATAGAGAGATGGGTTATTTTATCACTAGGAAGGAATAAAGTCCATAATACTCCTATTTTTAGAAACAGAAACTTCAAGTGCATGTAGTCATCAGGAAAAGATGCTAACAATCTTCAAAACTGCTGCTTCATTGCAGATATATAGAAGCATACTCAGTTGTACTTTAAGATAAATAAAATAGAATGGCAGTAATTCACATCTGTTGTTTGGTAGTACTATTCTAAGGGCAGAAAAATGCATTATCATTGAACTTGTTCACACATGCATATTTTGTTTGCTCTTACTCTGTGAAATGAATTTTCCTTCATTTCATGGTTCTTCCAATTTCTTTAAGGCCTGTTATTTATGTTAGTTTACAAATTGCAGGATAGAGAATTTGAAATGAAATGAGCTTTAATGCTTCGTTACTAGTAAGTTTAGGATATTTTGTCAGGACCTGAATTTCATACTGATTGCCCCACCTCATCTTTTTCTTGTTGTAAACTCTTCTCTGGTATTTTCACCAGTGGAAGATATATTGCTTTGCTGTTTCTCCACCTCACCTTCCTAGTGGAAGGATCAAAATTGTTATGACTCTGTGCCTAACCTGACCTTGTGCTTTTTTTAGAGATAAAACTTGGGAAGTCCATGAGTATTTAATTGGCCTTCATGAGGAATTAAAATCTTGGCGAGATGTTTATTGGCGCCTCTGGGGGACTGTCAATTGGTTGACCTGTTCCAGGTGTAATCAAGTTAGTATATTTTCACTTTCCCTTGCTTGTCTGTGTTGTTGTCGGTTTTTTTGTTTGTTTGCTTTTTTTCTGGGTGAGTTTTAGGAGCCGTGTCAGGGACTAAAAGAGTATGGAAAATATATTTATCACCTTTGTTTAGCTAATTGGTTTTGGTAACAGCTGCACTTACTGTTTTAATTTTTTTTGATTGGAGGCAATTGTTTGTATTATAGAAGTTACAGAAGCTGTGGTGTATGACTAAATGCTCCTTTCCCATCACTTTTATTTTCTGACTACTTAGAACAAATCATGATTAAATTAGGATGGCTATTCTCTGACCAATTGGTTTTAATGAATGACATAAAGATTTTCTGCGTTAAGAAAGGTGGTGATTGAGGGAGGACTTTTCTGGAGTTTTTGAGGTTTTGGTGTGACAGTAATAAAGCTGATATATATTCTTTTTATTGCAAAATTTTGCCTTCCACTGGCAATCTCAGCTCTTATCTCTCTTTTGTTATGTAGTCTTTCCTGTGTACCGAGTTCTCCCATTGCCAGTACCATTCGCAGCCAGTTCTTTATCCCGGTGTGGCAAGTGCTCTGGGTTCCACTGGGACAGGAGTATATCCCTGCTGTAACCAGAAAGTACTTCGATTTGATCCTACGGCCCTCCCAAAGGTGCTTTATTAATAGTTAACTTTTAAAAGGGCACAATGCATGGGAAGGGATGGGTTTATGAAAATAGATCCTTTGCAAAATAGGACTGTCTGTGTTCTGGTGTCTCACAGCAGCATGAGATGAGGGTTCTGACCTCTGGACTCTGCCTTTCTCCTGCTGCTGTCAACTATTCTGGGATCGTTCAAGTGCAGCAGGCATTCCCTGGCAGGCAGGGTGGAGCACGGGCCTGGAGAGGGGAAGGGCACTGTGGCAATGCCAGAAAGCTGTTTTTGCTTCCTGCCATAGCTTGTGCTGTGCAAGCTGTCAGTACAACCAAGGGACGCTTGTCCATTCCTTCTTGTCACCTTACAGTTTGACTACATCTAATGCTAAGATCACATAGGAAATTGTTCTGTAAAAATTGCTATTCCTATATAATAGATTAATTTGCTTCTCAGGATGTCCATTTCTACAGGACCCTATTAACTAAAGTTAATAAGTACAGAATCAATTCCAACTCTTTAATGAAAAGCTCACCTGAAGTTTCTGTCTTGGGAAAGCTTCCAAGTATCAAGACCAGAAGTTTCTAGGAAGTTGATTTTTGTTATCATATTTACTGGAATCGGTTCTTCCTATTAGTTCATAATCAGTTATTCCCTTTACTTCACGTGTCCGCTTTCTTTATTTCTATATGTATGACAGGGCTGTAAAGTGAGGGATCATGCAGTTGCTTTACCTTCAGAAGATAAAGGTGTTTTGCCATCTCAGACTGCTAAAATACTGAATGATCTGCTTCATCATAGAGATGTTATTGTTGTTCCTTTCACAAAGGATGAAAATAGGTAAGAACATTGTTACTGAAATAACTTAGCCTTTGACATTTTACCTGTGTGTACTTTGACTTCCCCATTTTAGAATGTGCAATGTGGAAATTTTTAAATAATGATTGATTTTATGATTGTTATATTGGAAATTGAAAGAGGAAGTATTCTTACCTTTTTACACATCAAACAGGGATTTAGTCGTTCAACCTCCATAACTAATCACTCATCTTTATGTTTTAATGCATTGTTATCAAAATACTAGTTACATGGCTAACTTGGTAGAGAGAGTCTTTCTCTTATTATGAGAGTAAAGAGAGTCTGATTCTAAAGTTATGAAATAATCAAGTTTTTCACCTCTTTCTCTTAAAGTGATTCTGGTATTGGACTCTGTGATGAAAAAGGTATTGAATGTGATGTGCTGTTAGAACCAAATATGCCATGGGGCCCCAAAACAGGAGAAATCAATGCTGTGAGTGACTGCTAGTGACTTACTTTTTCCCCTTCTTCCTGATAATAAAGATTATTACAGAGATACTTTAAATAATTTGTTAGACAGCTTTATACATACAACTTATATATCTTATGCACCTATATATGTAAAAAGAACGAAGCATGCAGCTGATCACTGTGGGACAATAGAGACTAGTCTGGGTACAAAATGTCTGGTGAGAAGGCAAAATTTAGAGTAAATCTATCAAAAATATTTTTGATAAACAGAAGCAATTCTCCATATATCTGTGCTTTACAGGCTGCTTATAAACTGATCGTATTGAAGGACCCAGTCATACATAGAATACATTGAGTGGTTAATTTTATTCAAATGATAGTGGTCTTTGGTTGTCTCTTGCAGATGCAAAAGATTCTATTTTACAGAACTGTGACGTATATTTTGCATGTGCTAAATCTATAGAATTACTTTCTAAGTCAAGTCCAAGTAGACTGTAAAACCACCTCTGGTTTAAAGAGATCCTTCTTGTAGAGAGAAATTTACAGTTCTAGAAACTCTAGCATAATTTAGTGCCCAGCACTTGCTCCTGTTGTGTATGATGGGTTTTTTTTTTGGTTTGTTTGTTTTTATTTTTTATTTCAAAAACAATCTATGTGCTAAGCTTGGGTAAATTAGAACATGATTCGGAATTCACAACATTTAATGGAGTTGTAGTTCAGAACCTGTTGTGCTTCATTTCACCAAAATGAGAAGTCAAAGATGAGAGTAAGCTTTCGGAGGGGCTGCAGTGTAAAATGCTGTACTATAACAGACCACTCTTATTTTGAGAATTGCCCTCACCTTTATTTATTAATTTATTATTGGTTCCCTAACGTACACCTCTCTTCCTTTTTCTTATTTTGAGAATTGCCCTCACCTTTACTTATTAATTTATTTATTATTGGTTCTCTAACGTACACCTCTCTTCCTTTTCCTGGCTACAGTTTCTTTCTCTGAAGAACTGGACATTGCAGCTGGTTAGTAAAATGTTTTGTTCTTAGTTTAAATATTGGCCCTTCCCTACTCAAACATAAATAACTTACTGAGCAACCTTTCCTAATATTTGACCAACCTGAGGAAACATAAATAAAAATATTTTTCATGACATTTTAAGCAAAGATTTGAAATTACTTTTTCAATGTTTGAGAATCATGTTCTCAGACCTAACTTTCCATGTGGTTTCCTCACTTAGATACAAAGCTAAATTTGAAGAGAACTCCTTAGGACAGCTTTAACATATTTGATAGGAATCAAGCTGCATTTACCTGTGTCATTCTCGTCCCACTTGTTAGAAACAACAGTCACTGTTATCCGAAGAAGAGGACTATACAACCGGCTCAGAGGTCACGGAAGATGAAGTGGGGGATGAAGAAGAAGTATGCAGGAAACCAGGTACAACTACAGCTGTCTCTGTAGCAAACCTCTCTGGAATTCAGATATAGGGGTTCAAGGCAATGCAGCAATTTTTTTTTCTGTAAGCAGCTGTAAACGTTAGAACTTTTAAAATCAAAAATATCATTATTTATATTTTATTTCTAGATATGTCTGTGTTTAGATAGAGACTAACCTGATGTTTGGTGCTGCCAAAAAACCCTGGCAAACGAGGGAAGCTGAAACTATTCAGATGTCCTCAAGGGTGATCATGAGCCTATTTTATAGGAAAGACTACCAAGAAACTTACGAATTTTCATGTTCAGAGTACTACTCTGATTTCATGAGTCACTGCTCTTAGTGAGATGACTGGTGAATGGTCAGTGACTGGTGCATGGCTAGAGTGGTCTGAAGATAAGCTCTATTAAATCTTTTATTTTTAAAATTATGATAAGGAGTTAAAGCTTCTACTTTCCACCCTACTAACAAACCACTTTGAACTGAGGAAGTTCTTTTCCCTTTTTGAACATGACATGAAAGAGTTGGGGTACACCAGTTTCTAAAAAGTTGACTGAAAACACTGTAATCTGCATTTAACTTGTTTGGTTTGACATCACCAAGACTTTAGAGTTTGACTGAATTAGTGTTCTCAAGGAGGTACTGTGTATGTGCAGCTGCTTTTGCATTTGACAAGGAAAGCTAAGGCACGTCTGGAAGGCAAGCTGGCAAGGGACGTTAAAAATAACAAAAAAAAATTCTTCAAATACATTAACAGCAAAAGGAAGATCAGGGAAAACGTGGGTCCGCTGGAGGACGGGATGGGCACCTTGGTTACAAATAACACAGAAAAAGCAGAGTTGCTCAATGCCTTCTTTGCTTCGGTGTTTACCAAGGGCAGCCCTTTAGAGCCCCAGGCCCTAGAGACAAGAGAAGAAGCTGGTAGAGAGGAAGACTTGCCCTGGGTAGAGGAAGACTGGGTCAGAGAGCACCTAAGGAACCTCGATACCCACAAATCCATGGGCCCTGATGGGATGCACCCCAGAGTCCTGCGTGAGCTGGCAGAGGTCATAGCTAAGCCGCTCTCCATCATCCTTGAAAGATCCTGGAGAACGGGGGAGGTGCCGGAAGACTGGAAGAAGGCCAATGTCACGCCAGTCTTCAAAAAAGGCAAGAAGGAGGACCCAGGCAACTACAGGCCAGTCAGCCTCACCTCCGTCCCCGGAAAAGTGATGGAACGGCTCATACTGGCCGTTGTCTCCAGGCACATGGAGGACAAGAAGGTGCTCAAGAGTAGTCAGCATGGATTCACCAAGGGAAAATCTTGCCTGACTAACCTGATAGCCTTCTATGATGAAATGACCGGCTGGATAGACGAGGGGAGAGCGGTGGATGTCGTCTATCTCGACTTCACCAAGGCTTTTGACACCGTCCCTCACAACATCCTCCTGGGCAAGCTCCGGAAGTGTGGGATAGATGAGTGGACAGTGAGATGGATTAGGAACTGGCTGGATGGCAGGGCCCAGAGAGTGGTGATCAGCGGTGCAGAGTCTAGTTGGAGGCCTGTGGCTAGTGGGGTCCCCCAGGGGTCAGTCCTTGGTCCAGTCCTGTTCAATTTATTCATCAATGACCTGGATGAAGGCACAGAGTGCTCCCTCAGCAAGTTTGCTGATGACACGAAACGGGGAGGAGTAGCCGATACCCCAGAGGGCTGCGCTGCCATCCAGAGGGACCTGGACAGACTGGACAACTGGGCGATGAAAAACCTCATGCAATTCAACAAGGCCAAGTGCAAGGTCCTGCACCTGGGGAGGAATAACCCCAGACACCAGTACAGGCTGGGGACCGACCTTCTGGAGAGCAGCTCTGCAGAGAAAGACCTGCGTGTCATGGTGGATGATAAGTTGACCATGAGGCAGCAGTGTGCCCTCGTGGCCAAGAAGGCCAATGGAATCCTGGGCTGCATTAAGAGCATCTCTAGCAGGTCGAGGGAGGTGATCCTGCCCCTCTACTCAGCCCTGGTGAGGCCGCATCTGGAGTACTGTGTCCAGTTCTGCCTCTCTGGAGATCTTCCAAACCCGCTTAGACGTGCTCTAGGTGACCCTGCGTGTGCAGGGGGGTTGGACTAGATGAATTCTAGAGGTCCCTTCCAACCTTAAGGATTCTGTGATTCCATGCTATATTCTACAGGAGAAAAAAAGTCTGTAGATAGAAAATGGGAAGAAAATCCACTGCTTAAAGCCATATGCTTTACATTTACTTCAAATGAAAAGTAAATGGACAGTCTTGGTTCCACTGTCTAGAAAAATATTGTGAAAGAATTCCAAATTTGCAGGAGGAAAAAAAATACATCGTAAATATATGTTGGGATTTTTTATTCTTTATTTGAAATGTCAACAAAGAAGCTAGAGTGATTATAGGGATAGTGCTGGTGTTATCATCTGCTAGCTGCACAGGTATGTTAATAATTTCCTTTTCACATCCCTGTTCAATTTGTGTGTGCAGATTAACATAGGTAAACATGTTCATTTGTATTTTCTTCCTAGTCTCTTACCAAAATATTCAGGATTATAATTGATCTGATTTGTTTTTGTTCTCCTTAATTTCTCCCCAAATTCTTGTGTATTTTTCCTGTTTTGAAAACCACTGCCTCAGAAGCATTCCTGTAGATTTTTATTTCTATGTAGTGTATCAGGCCAGTTCTGGTATCTCCTGAGAACACGTCTGAAGTTATGAATCATGATCTAGGATCTAGATTATCAAGATTCTTATATGACCTTAAAAGGAAAGCTACTTTTGCAGATATCATTAATGTGTTATTCTGGCTCTTGTTTTCAGTTTCAAGAAAAATGTGTGTTTTAAATATTATGTCTTCTGACAGATCAGAGAAGAATGTCTGAGATTACAGGTCACTTGATAAAAATGCGACTGGGAGACCTTGATCGAGTCAAGGCAAAAGACAGTAAAGAAGTAAGGCTTGTGAAATTGTAGTATTTACAGAACTTAAGTGAGCCTTAATAACAAAACTACACAATAAAAAATGTAAATACCATCTTTTAACACCTCAGACTAAAAATTAAATTTGGTGAAGCTTCTTCTGAAAATCTAAAAGCTACATTTAGCAAAATGAGTGTGGGAAGGGATTGGGTTTCTTTGTTTTTTTTTTTTTTTCTCCTGTTTTAGTTAGGTTAATATTTATTATGTTTAAGATCACTGCCTTTAAAAGCTGATATGGAAAATAAGATGCATTTGAAACATTTCAGTACTGAGTAGTGATAAGGAAAACCAAGTATGCTATAGATTTTAGAGAATTCTCTGAGAAGTCACTGGTTAGATTGGAGTAATTTCACAACTTCATGTTCTGTTTTGCAGTATGCAGGAGGCATTTATTCTAGGCTTGAAGCTCAGATAAAGGCTTCAGCACAAGTCAATGCACGACAAAATAACATGGAGAAGAACACGAGGTAAATTTGGTGGGGGGGGATTTTTTTTTTGTTTTGTTTCTTGTTTTTTTAATGGAAGGAAAATGCAGGTCATGGACTTTTTTTATAAACACACTTGCCCCATTTCAAACACATTTTGCAGGAGTATCCCTTTCCCCAGGTTAACCATGTGTAATGTGAAAGCTTCCCTAATCAAATTGCATTAGAGCTGAGAGAATTAAACTCTTTACTCTACCCTAGAAGAACTATTTCATAGCTGATAGGTTGGCTTCTACTCCAAGGTATTTTTTTGTGAAATTTTGAATAACTAGAAAAGTGTCAGCCAAGATTCTCTAGTCTGTTCTTCTATTAAAAAAAAAAAGGGGGGGGATGCAGTGGGAAGGAGGGAAAGACCTACCTTAAAATGGGAAAACAAAAATTTACTGGGAAGCTGACACTGCAGTTTTAGAGTCTACTGGTCATTATATGGCCAATAGGTGAGTCTCTTGAGAGAAATTCCCTCACAGGTGTTATCTCTGTCCACAAAAATATAAATGATGACTTGTGTAGAAATAATGATTTTGAAATAAACCATTTGATGTCACAGTTCTTTGAACTGTATATATGAATAGTGAATTAATTTACATGAATAAACTTCTATATAGTTTGTGGGCCCAGGTATCCTGGCAGAAAAGTAATTTATCAGTAGTAGATGTGGGATTTTTTTTTTCTTTTCCGTCCAGAGGCACTTTAACATGAAAGTAATTTCAAACAAATACTGAACTGTAGAGCTGACTTGACAAGAGTGGCAACAAATTTCTAGGAGCAATAATCTACAAAATTTTTTTTGTGTGTTCTTAATCCAGGTCAAAATCCCGTTTCGGTACAGGTCGTCCAACATAAGGGTTCATGAAGAAAACATAGCCAATACGTTACTGCTTCCTGAAAATGTACTGCACTCTGACATATGGAGAATGCATAACTCTGAAAGCTTTCCTGTGACTTATTTATTACTTTAAGCTATGTAAATTATTTTGTGTGTTAAATGAATGCAAATCCATTGAGGTCTGTACTTATTTTAGATGTAAATACACTATTTCTTAAAGTTAAACTTAATTTTTTAGGCTATTGTGTTAAGTTGCCTAGAAATATTTTATAATTTACAAAGTTAAATTATTAGACTATTTATGGGGGAAGATGTAAATATGCCTTCTGGTATGCTAGAAATACTAAAAAGGAAAAATGCCAGACTACTGAATTCTGAGTCCAGTCAGCCATGTTGACACAAATCACCTGCAGTATTTATTTTATATTGTATTTAAGGGCGCATTTTAGGTCAGCGCTCTGGGGATTTGTATTTAGTTGGTGTAATTGCCTAGACTAGTTAGAGCAAACTTTCAATGCAGTTTTGAAGCTTCTCTCAATATACCTATACAACTCTCATTTGTGTGAACTTGGGTGACAGGTCGGATCTAGACCTCCGAAGATGATTTAAATGCAGTGATGATGCAGTTCATATGCATCTTGCATTTGAAACACTTGTTTCATTTGCAGGGAAAAAATTACATATTGAC